TTACGTCGTGATAGTTTTTTCTTTTCTTTCTTCCCTTCCTTCTCGGTTTCCTTCTCGCTCTCTACCTCATCGTCTTCTTTGATAGTGGACTTGGATGGCCTCCGCTTTAATAGATCGCCTCCCTCTTTCTCTTCTTCCTCCTCTTCCTCGACAGTTGTCGGGAGAATAGAAGGTTTTACCGACCTTCTACGTGTTGACCTTCTCGGCGGTTCATCATCCTCATCGTCTGCTTCTTCTTCCTCTTTCTTGACAGTTGACTTGGTTGATGTTACCAATTCCTCAATGCTCAGTCTCTTGGGTACTTTCTCTTTGACAGTGGTCTCCTTGGGTGAGAGCTGTTCGTCGACTTCTTTTTGTTCCGGATCTTTTTCGGCGTCTGAGAGTTCCACATCGATGCCCGAGTCCCTATCTTCTTCCCTTTCCTTTACCTTGTCGTTTTCTTCTTTGGATGTTTCCTTTTCTTCTACTTCCTCTTTCTTGACCTCATCCACCACCATGTCCTTAACTTCATCCTCTTCCCTCGAGCTAGAAGTAGCCTGCTCCGCCGAGACCGAGCCGGAATCAGTGACACCCTCGCTTGAAGCGGCAGTGGTGGTGGCATCCGTACTAATGATAGCGTCTTCAATATCCATATCGTCCCCCTCCGTAGTTGTAGCGGTAGCCTCCATGGCTTCGGTCATATCGACGATCACGCCTGATTTCGGACGAGTGTCAGTACTTATATCTACGAGTGATACCTCATGATCTTCATATCCAGGAGGAGAATTCTGTACCAGTGAAAGCGAAACCGTCGAAAGGACTGGTATTCTCTACAACAATATCAAGGTCAAGATCCTCATCAGAATCCATACAAATGCCTGAATCTACACGTTGTAGCTGGCGTTTGAACTGTTCCCGTCTCCGTAGCCTCACAACCTCGAGGGACTTCTTGGACGGCGACGAGGTGGATAAGCTCCGCTTGCGTTGCTTCTTGGTTGCGAGCCTTTTGTAACCAGGCAGGAAGAGGGCATCTCGGTTGTCTAGAAGGCGTACTTTACAATTGCTCGGTGTATATATGTCCTCATCCTCGGTGAGGGTCCGTTTAGCTCCCTGTACTGCAACAGGATCGAGGATAAAGCGGGGAGGTTTGGTCCAATCCCATATAGAACGTCGAGCTCCGGTGGGGACAATGAGACGAGGAGCGAAAACTCCAGAGAGCCGGACCCGTTTGTTGGAAGTGGAATGAGTACTTGAGGTCTTCCGTTTCAAGCATGCCGGTGGGCAGCTGGGGGGAAACATTGTGGACAGTACAAAACAGGAGAGATGCAGAGAGATCTAGAAAGGGAGATGGGACAATAAAAGGGCTATATTCTTTTCTTGGGTACGATACAAAGGGCAGTAATGATAATAGATGGAAAGTATGATAACGACAATGATAGATAATGATAATATAGCAGAAAGAAGCTTCAGAAACGTTTCGAGAAGAAAGATATATCAGAAGTGTGCTGCTTGTAATTGAACTGTGCAATGGAAATGATTTTTGGAGGGGCAAGAAGGGGAGGGGGAGGTATTTGAATTATCCGGCGACACGATTTCCAACTGGATGGCCATGGATTCCGTGGAGGTGTAGGTAGCTAATGCAGTACTGTCTTGAATTTTTGTCTTTTTTTTCCTTTTTCTTATGTATTCCCTTATTAATTCCTATCCCACCCCGGGAGTGCACGTCGGCGAAAAGAGAACAAAACGGATGGAGTGGAATCGACAGATTACCGAACCAGCGGGTCACAGGATGTGGGATTTAAAAAATGTTTCAATTGAAACGGGAAATAGATCTCTCTTATCTCGTGTTTTTGTGAAACTTGCCGGTAGTGGCAGTTGTAATAATCCTTTTAGGTAGAAAATATTAACTGTCAATTGAGACAGTTTACTAGGTATCTGGTAATTGAAATTGGCTCTCTGACTTAACAGTAACAATTGCACTTTTCTTCTGATCGTAATCGTAATTGAATTGAGCAGATGGCCTACATAGCAGGTACATGGTAGGTAGCTCAATCAATATCAAGGCAATTGACTCGCAATCAGGCGTGTAGGATGTAGGCAGGTAGAGGCAGGCAGGCAGGCAGACAACTGGATAAGCAGAAGGGGGAGAGGCAGGCAGGCAGGCAGGTACTCCGCTGCTGTTGCTGCTGCTGCTCTTCTCGAGGACTCTATCCCCCACCTTGGCTATCATATCAGATTGCATATCCACCCACCTTGCCTCGTTGCCTCACCACTGCAATGCTGTCATACACATCCATCATGAGACCCAGTCTGCGATGACCGGCTACAGCTTCTCCAAGAAACTGCGAGACGTGTTCTCCGGACGCTCGAGGGATTGACGTGGAGCCAGTCGGGGGAGGTAGCTTGCCAGCACATGATGGACGCTTTGGGATGGGCGCATGAGGTGGGCTAAGCGAAATGGGGGTTAGTCAGGGCAACGAGGGTGAAGGGGGGATGTTTGTTAACCGGGGTTTCTTGGTGCCTTTTGGATGCCGGTTTGTTTCTCGCTGCGGTGGGGCAGGGTGGGCGTGAGATGGTGGTGAGGGTGGTGGTGGTGGTGGTGGATGTTTGGTTTAGATGAAAGGGTTCGCCGAGTTGGTGGTGGTGATGAGAGGATAAGAAGAGCGAGAGCAACGGCTAGCTACAGAGCTACAACTAGTACTACAATACTACCTAGAGTATAATCGTACAACTACTCCAACACTCCATCCACCACTACTACTACCACTACCATTCCAATACTACGTATTATCAAGTGGTGGCTTTTTATTATTTTATTCTCGCCCCTCTCCTCTTTCCCCTCACATCCCCTCTACCCCCCCCCCCCCCCCTCTCAAGCTCCTCCCTCCTCACCCCCTGGCTATCGCTGGTTTGCTGCCTCCTGCAACCCCACCAAACTAATTATCGAGCTGCATATCACTCTACTGCGGGAGTAACCGAGCGTCTTGCATGCACAACGGTGCACTCGTACTCTCAGAAACGAGCGAGAAAAAACACATTTCATGACATCAGGCAGATCTAATACCTTGCGACAATTAAGTACTCTATTACTGGCAGAATTATATCTACCGGCTCCCCGTTATTCGGCGATGGATCCACCGGGTGAGGGTAGGGGCGACTTGGCAGGGAAATCATATTTAATCACTCGATGATCATTAAGGGGGGGGAGGGGTGGTTGCAGTTGCAGAGGTCCCTCAACCCTCACCACGTAAGGGTCAATGATCTGTCTGACTGGCCTCCCTCTTCAAATGTATATTACCGGCTTTCTCGGAATTCAACACAAACGACGTCGTTAGCCACTGTGCCAGGCCCCGGAATAAGCGCTACTCTCCATAGTCAGAACTTGTAAAGTTCCGCTCTTCCACAGCCACTTTCTCTTACAACACCCCTCCCCCCCCCCCCCCCCCTTCCCAATCCCCTCTCCTCCGCCGCTTCGACACGTTTAAGACACATACATACATTTCACATTCCTTCCCGCACCCCTCACTCTCGTTACCAGTAGGTCGCGCAGAAACATGAGCTGCAAAACAAGTAGAGTACATAGACTAGAGCATGTACGCACGTCTCTGCTCTTACAGTACTAGTACCTCCTGGAGGTGCATCAGAGATCGCCGGAAAAAGGACGAGGCCGTCACCCTCTGCACTCTGCAGCCGGAATACTGTTTAGTCATGTGTGCGGCAGAGGAGATCCTGCTAGCGGTTCTTTTACGAGTGCATTGGTCTGCAGAGGGATCTTTGTGTTTCAAAGGGACCCAGTCAGGATATCAAGAGAGAGGGGAGGTGGGGACGGGACTCGATGCGGACTTATCTCAAACTGCTTCATGATTTTCCAAGTCCCAGGCCTACCTATCCTATCGGCCCTTCCCCGCTGCGGGATCGCCCAGAGAAGCAGAGGAGATGTGGGTGTCTCCAACAAACATTGTCTTCGTATCGAAATCTCTAAAGCAGTTTGCTTACAACCAAAGATAGTATAAGTATATATACAACATCGTACTTTCAAAGTAATACACGATAGTACCGCACTTTGATGCCTACCCCAATGTTGGTTTCTACACTTTTAGTTTCTCCTCTGAGAATGCACAGCAGTGTAAAAATAGCACCCCCGTGATTAAGCATAAGCTGCTCTAACCGTAAACGATCAGCACACATTTTCTGCAGAAAGGCTTCCTCTGCCAGATATTTTGGTCCGAAGAATTCGAGTGATGGCCTGTGTCCACGGAACCTCCGGGGAGAACATACAAAGCCTGCTGAGCTCCTCCCGATCCTTACTCCGGTTCCAGCCTCCAATCTACCGCCGACGGGGCGAACCATCAAAAAAACCATACGGAGACTTTCACAGAGATATGTAGCATGTATGGTATGTCAAAAGCGATAGTGCACAAATAGCAATCACCGTATCTCCCTCCTCCAAACCATTGGACAGCTATCGCTTTGTTCGCCTCCAGCACTTCTTTTCTGCCCCCACGTATGATGGTCATGATTGTGGCTTTAAGAGCCAGGTATTTACTGGTGGCTACCCCCAACGGCTTGTATCTCATATTTGGTCAGTCTGTTGGAATTCGTTTAAACCCAGAAATCACTTTCATCACTCAGGTTTGTAGCTGAGATGTGTCAGGTCTACTTACGGTCCATGTCTCTGGGAAGTGAAGTGGTGGCTCATGGGCGTACGTTGCGAGTGTTGAGAGACGGGAGTGTTGGAAGTGAGTGCTGGAGGTGAGTGGTGGGATGGTGAGTGATCGTGGCCAATCGGTGCACTGGATCCGTGATCATCTATTTGCCTGGTTTCTGGATCCCGATACCCGATATACAGAATCGATGTCAAGAAGTTGCCTGTGTAGGGGATGCCTGTATTTTTTTTTAGCATTATTGGAAAGTCCTACCAAATGTGTACCTGGATTCGACCGTGTGGGGTGCAAAAAAAATTCTCCCGGGATTCCATTTCTTAGTGAGAGAAAACGGTAGCAAAAAGGTGGTACATTAGTAACCCCACGCGGGGCTCGAACCCGCAACCTTCAGATCGCTACAAGAGAAAACTCTAATAGAAGTCTGACGCGCTACCATTGCGCCAGCAGGGCTGCTATATTATTTTTAGGTTATTACTTATTTTGAGCCACTATTCAACACAACGAAACTTTATTGTGTTTTATGTCTCCCTCCCACGCGGTGATATGAGCAAAATTGTGTTCGGCTAATCGCCGGGCCTAAAAAAGTTTCAAGATTTACTAGCTGAGACATGAGTTCAATCAAGTCTCCAATTCAATTTTCTACGCCAAAAATTCGATTTATACAGATGACCACGAAGCTTTCTGACCAGATCAGCCCCATTGTCACTTAGAGCCCATAAACTACACAAATCTCAATAGTCAAGCAGCTGACCGACCGATAAATCGAAGACTTGGCACCTTACATAATTATAGAATAAGTGCAAGTTTGATCATTAACGAGGAACCTCGAAATGAGGTTCCAGTTGGAAGTAGATACAGTACTAAACCCCCTGAAAGATTTTAAACCCCTGAAGCGATTCAATCCTGCATTCAAAAGGTGCATTTTAATGTGAGGCATCGTCATTATTAGCTTTTCAAATCCTGAAATCTGCGGGCTCTCCCCTCCATATGGCGTGATTCAACAGGTCGGTTTCAGGTGTAGATATTGTGAGCGAGATGATGGTACGGCAGCCGTTTTGAGGGTTTGTGCACTGGATGAATAAATTACATTTAGTCACAATATATCACTCGTAATGCGACATTCGTAACTACTGAAACAAAATTGTTTAATTTGTAATTAATGAATTATGTTATTTTATTTTTATTTTTTTATTTCCCTGTTCAACTCATTAATTACATGCAGACTTCCGTTTGTGGCGATCTCAATTAAGTTGTTGACCATGAAGATAGAAATATTATTAGGTGCCACCCCTTATACTTAAATACATGTAGTCTTGAAACCTTGTTAGGATATGTGGTGTTTTTCTCCGGCCAAAGTCAGTTCATAGCGAAGCATGGCTGGAAACCTAAATGTAGGTACATGTGCTTACCTCTCATTTATAACATACAAGTATCTATTAAATACATGTATTGACTTGATGTAACAAACAAAGCTATTTGGTCGTCTCTGAATGATGCAACGAAGTGGAAACGGTGAAAACCTTCGATAAGGAAGGCTTGGACTTCCACTTTTATCATATGTTTCCCCGTCGGTTAATCAGTACATACTTCTTGTTATTATCACTGATGCCCATCTTGGGCTTATCTCAGCCTTCGATTATGAGAAAGAAAAGTGCATTCTGTTCCCAATAAGCTCCAACTGTTGATGTCAAGTGTGTCTGGGTTTTCGAGGTCGGGGTTGCCCGGATCGCTTTGCTTGGGACGCACGGTAACACTGGGCCCAACTGTGTATTTTATTTCCCGAAGGCCCTGTGCCAGGCGGAGGTATCATCCCCCCATTAACCGAAATATAGCGGGAGAAACAGTGGTAGGAATCTTCTGATCACGTGCTTTGACCCTTTGTTAGCATATCCTCTTGTTTTCCCTGTCCAGGCACTTATATAGTACCGCCCCTGAAACGCCAGAAAGGTCCAGCCACTATCGCCAGCCACAGAATGAAGATAGCCGTGAATTTCGATATGGGTCCATCATTGATATTTCGAGTAATGAATTAAACAAAAAAAAAGTAGCCACGTGCTCATACGCGAGTGATATAATATGAAGAAGACTATCGATTTGTAGAAGGGTAATACCAAATTAGTTTAGTAGGTATCACGATAGCTACATGTAGCTATAGCCCATCGCCTGTTTTGCTCGAGTGCCTCAGACTCCATCCGGTAAACTGCCTTTCCTTATAAGCTTAGATATATGTATTTAAGTTCATAAAATCGTGAATCTTCGAGGGTATTTACTGGTGATAAACGCATATAACTAACATTTTTTAACAGTCATCTAGAGTGAGATTATTGATACTTTCTCTTAGCGATTTCTTACACTACATGTACTCATGCTTGCTTCCTTCTGCTTACCACTCAACCGGGGTAAGTACTCAACAGTAATATAGTCAGCCCACTACACATGAATTGTTCAGTGCACATATTCCCACTTCCTCTATCTCCGTGAGCCCATGATCAAGAGTTTTAGTGCTTCTAGTGCCTATATATGTTGTAATTCTTTATCGAAGGAAATCCCGAACATTGTGTTTTAGTCCACTATGAGCATAGGCACCCGAGATAACTGCCAAAAGCCATTGGGTTGATACGTTCCATGGGAATCTGCGTACGATTTCGGCGGTGAAACGATGTCTCGTGATGTTAATGTGGTGCACGGTAACTTTGGCATCTAGACATGCTTTGCCCAACTGCATCCCTTACAGAACCTTATTACTTTTACATTTCCAAGTCTCGAGTCTCTCCGTTGGGTCGCCTCAAGCTTCCTCGCAGGTATTATTGGATGGCTAACTAGTAGAGAGAGGGGTTGTCATTCTACCATCAATCAACGCGGCGGTCATGAACACGCATATTGGATGGATACCGACATTTTAAACATGCACTAAACTCTACGCACCTCAAGAGAGTTCGGTGTTCCGCTTGCACAGCAGTGGATATTCGATTATAGTCTTTTTGTTACAGTCTGCCGATGCTCTCGCTCACGATTCAATTTAGCCAGTGTCAGTAAGGGTGTGTATGGCATATGCTGCCAGCCGTGATAACCCACTGTGACGCGAGTAAGTAACCCGTCAGCCCCCGTTTGCTCAAACCCACCATAATCTATGGGCCTATACGTTGGTCGTTCGAGTCCCGGAAAACAAGGTGGATCGATAGATGGGTGGGGGTGGGGTATGGGATTAATTGGAATTGGGAGATTTTGATACGTCGTACGGAGCCTAGATCTCGTACCCAGCGATGGTACCAGTGATCACTTACCAAGCAAAGGAATAATTCCTATTCCACAAAAGGGAGCCAGAAGTTACTGGTACCTTCGATCACTTGAGTAACCTAACTCTGATGAATGGAGATTTCTTCTGATCTGGGTCACCAAGTTAATTACCCTTTGGTAATTAAAGAGACAGCTTTACAGAAACAAAACAACTTTTTTCAAAATTAACAAGCTAGATACTTTACATAAACCACTCCAACTACCTTGAACCTATTATCAAATACCCCCACACACACACACGCACTCACACACACCGGCATTACACTGGATATCAAACCAAGTACAATATGACGAGAAAAAAAAGCAAAAGGGAAACGCACATATGAAAGATAAAACGGCAAACTTAAATAAAAAAATATATAAAAAAAACCCTCCCCGAGATACTACATGAGCATAAAGCCCTTCCTGCCTGGTTAAGAAAACATAAGAAATACCTCCCTCCTAACCCCTGTATCATTGCTGAAAATTCTTTATATAATAAGATATCATCCTCGTAGCCTTCCCATCCGGGCCCGTCCTGTCCCAACGCACAAAACATGAAATAGAGAAAAAGAAAAGGAGGATCTGTCTTTCTTGAGTTTGTTTTGTTTCCCCTCGCATTCGTTGCCATATCATAGACATCGTACTATCTAATACAGGGGAATCCCAACAGTGAGAAAACTGTTCAGGGATAATAAGTTGAAATAAATAGAATAAAAAGGTCACACAAGGTCCCAAAGGCCCTAAAGTTGACTTAAAAGGCAATAACAAATATACTTTCAACATAATAAAAATTCGAATAAAAAATAAAAATAAAAACCGTCACCTCTCTATTCAACCACGATTTCAACCCCTGACTGGACATCCAACTCCCCAGAACCCCCACGATGCTGCCTCCTGGACGCAAACCCTGCATTTCTATCCGGATCCGGTCCTCTTGGTTGTCTAGAAGGCACTACCTGGCCCCTCTCCCTCTCGCTTCTCATCGAAGATGCTGACGTCGGTTCATCGCTGTACGGAGACATACCTCCATAGCCCCTTGTTGACACACCCCCATTACTACTACCAGCACTAACAGGCGTTGAAACATCGTGATTGCCGTCCCTTCCGTTTTGTCGTTCTCTATCAAAATTCAAAACACCCCTAGGATCCCGTGGGTCTCGAAGGCTCGCTCCACCGACACCGAGATTACCACCCAAGGAGGACGTAAGCGACACTCCAGCAAGTCCATTCACAAGTAACGACTCACTAGCATTAGAAGCAGACACGGTAGTTCCTGTCGCAGTTGGCGTCAAACTCGGAGTAGTAGAAGTAACGCTAGCACCATAGTCCGTGTACCGAGAAATATTGCCTCCGAGAGCGGCAGGAAAGCTAGCAGAAGAAGGCACAGGCGACGGAGTATAAGATCGCAAGTCAGCAAACGATTTTGCCGCACGAAGATTCTGTCGGCTATGCATATCTCCTCTGCCAGAAGGCGAAGATGGAATGTCCAGTAGAGAATTTCCGTGACGACCTATTGTTGAGTACATTCCCGCTCCTTCTGAGCGAGCGTCACTGAAATCCATAGTAGTCGCCCTAGTCAGCACTCGTCGCTGGTGCGATTCCACAGGATGAACAGTCGTGGGAATCGACGGTGGGCTTATGCTTGGGGTCCCTGAAATTGGGGCACGGAAAACATGCACTTGGCGCTGTTCACCAGTACCACGAGAAACGTGTGCCAAGGCCATGTGATGTGCAAGGGTGTGCACGATGCGACGTTGCTGCGGAGAAAGCGTCGACGGAAAAATAAGAGCTTCTCGGGAGAGATCGTCGCGGAACAGCAGGAGCTGTGAGTAGAACTGCAGAGTCTGTGGATCGTTCAAGTCTACGTCTGGACGTGACCATTAGTCTATGCACTCTGCACGATGCAGGCAAGTAATAAACTATGCAGTCCAAATGCACTACGGCGCGAACAACTGACTCGAAAAATAGATTTCGGGTAGGAGTACTAACCTGGAAGTGTCCGAGAAGCGCTGGGAGAAGGTGAAGTAGATAGAGGGATGATAGGCTGTTGTTGCTGCATCTGCACAGGCCGATGCTGTTCCTCCAACTGTCCTCTCCTTTCCCTCTTCTCCCTTTCAATTCGTTCCCTCTCAACCAAGGGCAACATCTTCTTGTATTCTACTCTAAGCTTC